AGACCATCGCAGACAATGATGGGACCGGCCAGAATGTTGATGCCGCCACCACAACAGACCACACCGAGTCGATTTATGGGACACGGAGGATTTAGCGGAATGATGTTGCCGCCACCGCAACAGACCACACCGAGTCGATTTATGGGACATGGAGGATTTAGCGGGATGATAGCGACCCCAGTACAGTCACAAAGGTCATCCCCGATATTACCACCCTTTCCAGAAACGGGAGGCTTGTCATTATCGGATATTGGAGCACCTCGTATGAGGACACCGCAACAAATGGGAGCGCAACGACCGCATAGGAATTCGCCACAAAAAGGTGGGAGGCGAGGCAGAAATCGTTTTGATTCACCAAGACCGCGAGGTATACTGCCGTCGCTGGGCCCAAATTTGGAGCAGGTGGGACCAGATGGATTACGGTTAACACCCCCGGGTGAACCTACCGTGCACGAGTATTCACCAAAACTTCCGTTGGATATGAGAGAGGATGATGCTCGGTTGAATATAATTGTGGGAAATAAGGAAAGTTTGACGGAAACCGATACAGAGGCCATCCAGGATTTTAATCGGATGTGTCGTGACCTATACAGAATCCATATGCGGGTCGAGGATGAACACGCATTTTATGGAAGGTTAATCAGTTTGGATGCGGTTATTAAACCGGTTCATATCGCACTGAAGGATAAGACTAAAGTCATCGAGGTTAAGCGGAAAGAGTTGGCGATCAAAATTGCCTCGATGAAGCAGTACCACCCGGCATTAGTCGAGAGGAAATGGCCGTGGATGATCGAACAGATCCAAAGGTTCCTTAAGACGTTCCCCCAAGAGAAGCGGACTCCTACAGGCAGCGTAGCGGGGCCGTCACGGGCGCTAGTCGAAGCCCCAGTAGATGAGATGTCAGACAATGACCTCCTGGAAACAAAGAGAAAGATAGAAGCGGAACTAACCGAAAGGTCACGGGCCAGTTCAACCACAGGCTCAGCACGCGGACGGACAAGCTCAGTTGCAGATTCGTCTCGCGGAAGCATAAAGAGCGGAAAACGAACAAGGTCACCGACGACAAGCCCAAAAGAAGGTGATAAAAAGGGGCAACCGACCAAAAAGGTCACGGCGAGTATAAAGCACCGCCGGCTAAGCCACAAGCACCGATACCGGTTGGTAGAAAAAGTGCACCGCCCACACCGACAAATCCGGAGATCACGCAATTGCGTCTTCCGAAATGTAGGACTTATACGGTGAAATACACTGGGACGGACCATAACGAACGAAAGGTCACGGCTAGGATAGTCGACAAAGGAACGAATAAAGAGATCGACTCGTGCAATCCCCTAGCAGATAAGTCAGTCAAAAACGAGATCGGGGAAAGGTCAAAGACAGAAGTCAATGAGGCGTTACAGTTCATTCCTCCGGAGGAGCGTCACAACCCACGAGTCCTCATTCAGATGATGAAACACGTTGTGTCTAAAGTAGCGATCGAAGAAGATGCATGGATCCGAATTAAAGTGGGCACGAACGAAGACCACTTGGCGTATACATATACAACGGATGGAAGGCTGTTGACAAAAGAAAGAATTCGACCAAAACCAACAGCAGACCCAGACCCGGCTAAACGAAAATTAGACGATTACGAGTCGACCCTGAAATATACTGACGGAACATGTAGGAAGGTGACGTTGAAACTCCATTTTGAGGATAACACGACGGACAGCCTAACCGCAGTAATCATTGACCCGGTAACGGGAGACCCGATCCCATACGCCCCATGGGACATATCAGAAGAAAGCGCTGAACAGGCCAATAAGACAGCCCTCGATCAGCTGTGGCACCTGATACCAGAAAGCGATCGTCAAGACCCGGCAGTCCAAGCAAACACACTGATCAGCATGATGCGGTATCGAGCGGAAAAAGACGAAGCCCATTTCCGACTCACAAGAAGAATGGAAAACGGAGCGTATAAAACGGTGTTCTATGACGCCATGAAGAACCCTTTGTGGGAAATCACAACACAGGGACAGGACGCGACGACACCTCACTTGGAAATTCTGGGCCAACAGCCAGCACAAAAAGATGGAGCTGGAGAAATGGAAGAAGCCCCAGTAGCCGAAATAGAAGAAACTGGAGGAGCCAGACGATCATTGCAACGTGTATTAGAGATCGTCCAAGGGGATGAAGAACATCCTCCATGTGGGGACATTAATTGTGAACGATGTAACGTAACCGATGAATCAGAAACAAAATCGGCAGGAGACGACACAGGCGAAGAAGAAGAAGCGGATGAAGGAACTGAGGAAATTCCTCCCATCCCTCAAAAGTGGTTATTAAATCAAAGAAAGCGGCTAAACTGGAAGAAGCTATGAACCGGAAAAAGGGGAAGAAAGCCGATAAGAAGGTGGAAGAAAAGAAGAAGGATGACAAAAAGGATGACGAGAAAAAGAAGAAAGGTCACGGAAAGCAGAAAAGTAAACCCGCGACTCCGGACGTTGAAATTTTCGACGAGACTGAAAGGTCGTCATCACCGGCGCCTCCGAAAAAGTTCATCATTGAATCGGCGACTTCTAAAACAAAGAGCGATGAACCGACGACATCGAAAGCAAAGACTATTGCGGTCAAACAAGTCGTCCCTGTCGTTATATCAGCAGCCACCCCGAAAGAACGCAAAGAAAAGGAGAAGCGCGAGAAAGCAAAGCGAGAAATATCTCGTGAATCGTCAGCATCCGAAACGAGCTTACCAAGCACTTCGACGGTCAGTTCAAGATCACACGTGGACCCGAAAACGGTCAGATCAAGAACCACAGAACCGGGGAGCCTAGCAGAGGCTCTGGAAAAAGGAAAAAAAGCAAAGAGCGAACCAGTTAAGTCGAAGGCGAAAGGCAAAACGACCATGAAAATTGACGCATTGGCGATGGCCACCTATACCCAACCAGACGGGGATAGTGAACTTGATTATTCAGGAGACGAACTGGAATTCGACGATCCTGATGATGATAATATGACCACGATCGACGAAATTGTTGAGGCATTCGATGGAGCAGAGAAAAACTTCACACGAATAAGGACGGCATCAGTGACAGCGAAATTCCGAACTGGTTTGAAAAGATATTTGAAAGAGAAACGCCGTAGCTTCACCAAACAAAAGTTCGACGTCATATTGGAGTATGCTCGTAACGCAGGAAAACTTATCCAGAAACATCCTAACTTCGCGTATAAGGCCAAGTTATTCAGACCAGCGAGTTCGGACAAGGCGTTGACAAGTCCAAACGAAGACAGTTCAATGCGGGTAGAAAGGGCAATCGCAGGAATGACAAGCCCGTTGGGATCAACGAGTCACCGGATCAGTCAATATATCAACGCCGTTTGGCATGATGGAAGAGGGATGATAAAGGAAATCGATACGGCCACCGAACGTGCATTGCCGAGGATGATTAAACAGAACATCCTATCAACAACAAACGCACACAAAGGACTGCCGATTAGATATACGAGAGTGGGACTTATACCTCCGGAAAAACAAGGTCACTGTCATATGTCTGACAGTCAAGACATGGAAAAAGTTAAAGTGCCAATACAGGGAGATCCAGCGACTCCCATACTGAACCAGATTGCACAACGGATAGCAGAAGATGAGGCCGCGCGGGTGAAGTCACAAGCCCCTAAAGTGCTTAAACAAAAAGGACCAATGGATTCGGAATCGGAAGACAGTGATGATAATACCACCAAAGAAACGCCTCTTGAACCAGCGAAAGAAAAAGATGAACAGTCAAAAGGTCAAGAGACAATTGGAACGGTGGCAGAAGTTCAAATGAAAGGTCACGAGACTCCGGAAACAGGGGAGAAAGAAAAGGTTATGCTCCCTGGCGAGAAAGTAGAGGCGGAGAAAGAAGCTGATTCTGCGCGACAAGTGTTTCAAAAATCTTTGCTCGCACCATCGGAGGAGGCGGATAAACCGAAAGGTCATGAGATTTTGCCACAAGAAGAGAAGACCGCCGAACCGAAATCGACTCAGTCATCATCGGGGTCTTTGGGAAAACTGACGATTGTTGAAACAGACCCAACGGACTCAACGGGCTCGGCATTATCCCCCCAGAAATTGAAAAGCGATGATACACAGACAAAAGAGGAACCGAATTATATGTTAGGAGCACCGTTAGATGTGAACAACCGAACATGGAACGAAGTTCAAACGGCGCTTCAAGGGGAAAGAGAAGGCGAAATGCTCGGCGCGCAGCTGAAAGAACAGGTTGTCGCGAGCTCAAGAGGAAGATCATCATTCAACATGACGGAACGAGTCCTGAAGCGAGCGTATAAGGAAGGAAAGCTGGGATGTAAATACAATAAAGACAACAAGATTATTTACTACCTTCCGAAGTCTATACGCACACCCAGACTTAAAATGGAATTGGAGATATGGAAAATAGCCATCACAGATGTGGCTTTAGACGCTATTGGCGGTACAAAAGGAGCGTCGTGGAGTGACCTTTCCAATTTCATGGCTGTCCATTATGAACTGGGAGAATTGAATATTGAAAAGGACAAAGAGTGGATTAAGAATGCCGTAGAAGCCCTGATCAAAGACGATGACGTGCTTATGATCAACGAAGACGGCCGAGTTGACTTTAAGCCGTATAATCCACCGGCAAAGGCAGCGGAGTGAACGGGATGAGCGTAATATGCAGCGAGTAATGGACCCTGCATATTACAGAAAACAAAAAGCATAAAAAGGTTAAAACGAATGAGAAACAGTCGTATGGAAAAGCGAAAGTGAAAAGGTCAACTCGAGGGAAGCGTTAAGACTAATAGAAAAGGTCACAGTAGTCAGAAAAAACGCTGATAACGTGAGAAAGGTCACCACGTTATAGCGATAGAAAGGAATTCAGGAGCTAGGAAAGTCTCGGCTCAGTAACGGAATAGGCGTAAAAACGATAAAAAGCCTGATAATGGATAGGAATGGAAAAGATTTACGGGGAACAGTTACTATGACGGATTGTTTTTAATTTCAGATTTAAAGCGGAAAATGGCACAAAAAGGTCAAGCCACTCCTAAAGCCTCGGGAACGACATCGGAAATAGACAGATCTACGGGCTATAACCCAAAGTGTCCGGACTGTCTACGGAACAACAGAAAGGTCGATAAGAAGTTCCCGTGCTATACATGTGTTCACAAGTTGGGGGACCCACACATCGTTTCACTCGTTGGACTTATGGAAGTCAAACGGGGGAACATGGATGTTTTTCGGAACCTCATTAGCGCGAGGAATTATGGCAGCATCCCGGTAGAGGAGCGAATGTTACTTGAGGATCGTTACCGAGAAGCGATCCGGAATAACGAAAGTGGATGGGATGAAACCTTAGAACCATTGAAATGTCTACAAACAGACGCGTACCGTAAGAAGTTTGAAGAGGAACAAGAGAAGATGCACCGGCAACAGTTGGAAGACGAACTCCGCGCAAAAATTGAAGCGAACAATAGACGGGCTAGCGAACAGGCAGCTCGAGAGGCGATGCCCAGCTCATCAAACTCAGCCGTACCTACAGCGAGTCTCAACGAAGATGAAGCCCGGTTGATACGTCAGTCTCTCATTATTCAAACTGATACGCTGATAAACGATCCGGCCGCCATGCAAAAGGAATTATTCGACGCATTGTTGCGGGAAAAGCAGAGATTGCAGAAGGGGTTTGCTCCAGCACCATACATAAAGAAGGAAATCGAAACACGTATGGAGGAGCTACGAAAAGCCCGTCAGAACGAGAGTAATGTCCTGCAAGCACTCAGAGGATTTAAACGGGACGAGGGTTTTATACGACCTCGATCACCTCCGCAAAGAGAAAGGTCACGCGGACATTCACGTGAACGGGAACGGACTTATGACCGCCAAAGTGAAAGACCACGCGAACACTCTCGTGAAAGGACACGAGATTACCGCAGCGAAAGGTCACGCGAACGTTCTCGCGACCGAGATTATCGTGGCGGAAGAGGATGGGTACGCCATGGAAATGAGATAACAGAAACGAGTATTCAGCGGAAAATCGACACGGCAAAGATTTTGGCCGCGACAAGAGGACGCGAAGAACAACGGCGTGCGGAGGCATTCCGCACAGAGCCTGAAAAGAAAGGTCATCAGGTGCCGTTGGGAGTTGCGTTCTGTAACCGTAATGTCAGAATGTCAACGCCTGAAAGGTCATGGGACAAAAGACGTGAGCGCACACGGAATCGAACGCCAGACCCACAGGACAAGCGATGGCAAGAGAGAGCCAAGTACTATGCGGGTTTTGAATCTGGCGCAAGCAAAAGGTCATCGAGTGCGGAACGGGAAGACTCACCCCCGAAGCATCAGAGAATGGAATCGACAGTCCATGTCGTGGATCCCATCGTGAGTGCTGAGGATGACACGATGGAGGGGGCTAGCCCAGTCGCAGCCTCAGTGTCCCAAGAGAACGTAATTCACCGAAGAAACGTGGTCCTCGACAGTGACCCTCGACAGTGACCCTCAACCGTCCACATCGGCGAGTAATGAACCGCTACAACGTGAACCAGAAGGACGACGCGAGCAAGCAGTTCAACGCGAACCGGACAATCGTCGCGAAGACGACCGAAGAACGACTTCCAGATTTAATAACCGACACCCTGATCTTATCGACATGGAATATGACATGAGTGATACTCATGAGCAAACGTTGGAAATTTGTCGATATTTCGGGATCGAACCTGATTCGGTTGAAGCTAACAAGATCGGCACCATAATGCGCCAGCTACGCCAATTCTTATTAGACTCTGGCTACGCTCAAGAAATTAGACAAGGATTGGAAGAAGGAAACTTCCATCGACTACACATTCCCCGCGATTCGGCGAGAGATTGTTATCTCCCGATCCGACAGAATGGGCTGCATAGTCTATTGGACTTGAATTTACTAGATGTGCCACTGGACACGACTGACCCAGTGGGGATGACCCAATTTTATTATACCGATTACCCTGAACGACAGGAATATGTGGCTCAATTCGTTCTACGCCATGTGAATCCAGCTTTTAAATTGCTTGCAGCGAGAGCATCAATAGGATTACAAGTCGATCCTACGGACCATGCCGCAAAAAGGATGGGGCAAAAGGTCTTTGCTGCACGACTCGCACATTATAAGACACAAAATCAGTTGGTGTCTAATACCATGAAGGACGATATCCCACCGTTGTTCCGACCTCATGTGGCGAAATTGGGCGAACCCATGGAACACGTCGGAATAGCCCATACGGCCAGAAAGGCGTTGAAAAAGTGTAAGACACGAAGGGAAAAGGGCAATCTCACACAGCGACACGCCTCCCAAGTTGAAGAGCGGATTAACCGGATTAAAGATACCATGGGAAGCGACTACGTTGAACCAGTGGACGGAGTCGAAACGTACATAAACGAATTCCTTGTGAATAAAGGTGATCGACGTCCGGAACGCGCTCCTAACCAGATAGGAAGACGTGGTTTGCGAAACCAGCAGCTACGAGATAATCTAGCTGATGTGCAACGTCGACTGGCGGACGATCCTAATAACCGAAGACTGCGGTTAGAGGAAAATGACGCACGCCACCAAGTCGAGGCGATTAAGCGTAGCCGCCAAGGGAAAGGTCGTGGTCAGCGAGCAGTTGACCCGGAAAAGGTCATGGAAGTTGACTTGACGGAACCAGTCGACCGAACTTCTGACCGAAATCAACCGGAAAGTGCTAAGAAGCGCCCGCCAAGAGATGGCGAGGGCGATTCAAGTGAAATGGAATAGTGATGATCGTTAGGATCACACTATTGAAAAGGCGTCTACGGCATTTGTCGGCACGTCACAAAAATGGTGTTGTATAAGGGCGACGTGACATATTTACTTAAAACTGTATTTGTGTATTTGTTGTTTGCAGCGTTTATAGCACAGAAACCGAAAGGATAAAGAAATCATGTGGAGCATCGAATGGGGTTTAAATTGATTCGGTCTATAAAGCCGGCCCCAAGGGAGTAGTTGCGGCAGTCAGCCGGCTCTCCTCCTTAAGCGACTCAGTGTTATAAATTGGCGAGAGAAACTACGGTAATCAAGCCGGATCTCTTGAATACGGAAGTGGGCCACAAGCGGCGAAAAAGAGAAAGACAACAGGTGGAAATATTAATGGGGTAAACTTGATGCGGCAGTCAGCCGGCCTCATTAGGGTTGCTACGGTAAACTATGCCGGCAATCTCTCCAAGCGACTCAGTGTTATAAATCAACGAGAGAAATAGCGGTAACCAAGCCGGATCTCTCGTACCGAAGTTGGGCCACAAGCGGCGAACAAGAGTAAAAGATTGAATGTGGAAACGCCATGGGGTAAATTTAATGCGGTAAACAGCCGGCCCCATCGGAGATGTTACGGTAAACTCTGCCGGCACTCTGGCCGCTCGAGGCATATTGAAGTTGGATGTGCGACGGAAAGGTCAAATTGAAAGTCTTACCAGGGAGGCAAGCGAAGAAGTGCTTGAAAGTCGTTAAAAATCGGCTAAGTTCCTCCATGACCTATGACGGAAGTTTGAAAAGAAGTCGGATGACCTTTGGGATCATCATTGCCCAACAGAGTCACCGTATCAGGACTTAAAGTCGCATGACCTTTTGGGACCATTAGCCCAAGTGAGTCGCACATCCCGGATCATCTCAACAAAGGATGACCTTTACCAGGGAGGAAGCGAACTACGCTTGTCTACATGACGTCCCTCCATGACCTTTATTGAATCTCATTGTAAAGACGTACAATTGATACGCACGTTATCCCAAAGATGAAGCAGTATTCCTAAGTCGTACTTGATACGCACCTGATTCTCAAGCGGATTGTGATGAAAAGTCGCATTACGGATGCGCGGACTTGCTCAACAGAGCGAAATGGGCCAAAGAGTGCGGAAAACGGTGGACAGGACCTGTGACCTATACGAGTCAGAAATGGAGGATCCTAGTCTACTTTTGATTAATACTTTTGTTGATCTTTTAACTGTTGATCTGTTTTGTATTAGAATTGATATGGAATAGTATTTTGGTACAGATCTCTTTATTCACATTGTGCATTTGGAATTGTGTGATAAACGGAATAAGAGAATTTGATGTTTTTGAGCACGCACAGACACCGGCGACCGTCTTTTCGTGGATTCCGGAGTGTGCTGAGCCTCAACGGAGCTCGGCATCCCCCCAGAGGCATGTGAGACGAGGGCTCACTAGCGTTCACGCCTGTGGCGCTAGGCGCTACGCCGATGGATTACGGTCTGTGTTGTGTCTCGCTTCTGATTGGCTCGCGCTTTATTAGTGGGCGCGGTATAGCACGTGCTGCACACTGTTGCACAGTGTGGAATTGGCTCTACGATTTGCGATCGAGCTGTGCCGATGAGGATGTTGATTTCTGTTGTGCAGACTTTCAATATATTAAAAGTCAGCAATTAGCGGTGCGACGTCTAGTGTTTTCGCTTAGTTCGCAATCCAGATCGCATTGCTCACTCCACAGGATCTATCCCGTTTAGGTCTCTGTCCCTGGATCACAGTTGGATCTAGCATTAGAGTATGTTACACTGCTAACCGTAAAGAGGAAATACCTCAGCCGAAAGTACTCGGTACATCTGTACACGCGGCACATCGCAAATCGATTATCAACAAGCCATGAAAAGGGGGCTAAAATATAGAAAGCCATAATATAGACATAACAGAATAATTACAGATATTTACTTGTACAGCATTGTGCAGCGGCGTCTTATGTACAGTACAGCATGTTTTTGTTTTCCTGCTGCTCCTTGTCATCCGTTCTCAACTTTCTTTTTTATCCACACAGACCTCCTCTCTACAAACACAACATGGATTATTCACCAGAATATTTTTGAATAACGGTGTCGTTGTTAATTCGAATTTTCTGATATCACTTAGACACTTACCGTACATAATTGACGTTTTTGGATATCATGGCTGGTTTTATCTCCTAAAAATTCGTTACCATAATTACACAGATGATTGTATCACTACGGGTACAGGGATACTCATTTACGCTTAAGTAGTCTGAGTTCTCATGGCCACTCTTACCCAACAATGATACCCAAGGATTTTCGATTTGAGCGGGCAGTTCGAAATTGGCTGCAGTCACAAACACAAAAATAAGCACAATTAAAAAAATAACGACGGTAAGGCTATGGGCCATTTTTGCAGTTTGACGCGTGTATGAAAAATTAATAGTCCAAAGTTATAATCTTTTCCGTTCACCTACTGTAATTCAAAAAAACTGAAGCTTGAACGAAAGACCACCGACATCTATTCTTTTTATACTTATACTGTATTGCGACACGCGCTACGCAGTCATAATAATTATTATCATTGTGGTATTTAATGGTTAAAGAACAGATCCATACTCGTACTGCATAAATATCTGTAGATATCGGTATAAACTATTAGAACAATGCTCTATATCGGCTCGGAATGGGAATTTCCTAGTAAATATTTACTGTTTGACAACATACAAAATTACAACATACAACACATAAATTACCAGCAATTGTTATTAAAATTGTTTTCCATACGCAACAACTAGTCGCCACTGGTTAAGCAGCGAACATGTGTTTTCTACTGGGCGTAACTGTTAACGATGTCATGCCGAACTCTGCAGTCTGCACGCGCCTTGGGCGTCGGCCTCCACTGCTCTGCCATTTGCTGGAATGGTAGATTTTAGATTGCAACCGCCCAAAACTTCCGAACGGCACCTTAAATTGTGCCTATCCATTTTTCGTGTTTTTTAACATGTATAACACAAGCGCTGATATAGATTTGTTAAGCCAGACGCTTTTGCCGAATTGTAAATCAAGAATTGTATTTTCAGAAAATAATATTCCTAAATAATTTTGCACACCTACCAAAATATGCCGCTACAAAGGTTTTACGAATGCCGTTAGCGTAAAACATAATGGGCTGGCAAAATGTACGAGGAATGCGCTTTTGCAGCTGTACACCATCCGATCACCTGTATATAGTCATGTCTGAGTACACAATCTCTATACGTGACAACAGCCAAAACTGATTGTCATTCGATGCCGGACATAGTTATGCGATTTTTATGCATGTTTAATCGGAAATGTTGGCGTAGAATCTCCGTTATAACTAAAATAATGTTCATAAAAATGACATGTGTCCATCTAAAAAATGTTCACGAGCGGAAACACGTGTCATACACTGTACAGGTGCTTGGAAGACGACACTAGTATCGATAGAAAACAATTGGTACTCATTATCACCACATCTTGCATGTATAAGTAAGTTGTTTTAGCATGCAGGTATTTGCCACGCTACAAACAACATGTACTTATGGTTAGGTTTTTATAAATTAAGTCTGGAGTTTCCGCAACGTCATGTCCGTTTTTTTAGGCTACCAGCCTACCACAATTCAGCAATGACTCGTTAGTTTTTACTTCCGCTTTAATTAACACGTTTGTAATAGCATTTGGTACACAGGATACCGCAGACAATACACAACCGGTATTGTTAATAAGCACGCTAGCTTTGCGGTTAAAGCACGATTAATGTAGTCAATGCAATTCTGATCGGAAAAACCAGAATTCGCATTTTTTTAACGAGGGGTTTCACATGAGAATACATGCGGATAAACAGGAAAATGTCCGTTGTGAAATAATCTCGGACGGTATAAACTGCCAACCGGCAATCTGCTAAGAATTATCAGTATAAAAACAGCATATATACAGAGTACCGCCTGGCTTTAGGCTTAGATATTGTACAGAATTTGAATTGTTGTTTACATCCCTTGTTACATTGCGTTTCATTTGCGCTGGTCCTAACTTTAAATTTTAGTATTTGTACCCATTGAAATAATGAGCCAGCTTTTACCCGCTGTAAGTGAGTTAGGATGTACAGTTGAATTAATTTTGCATGATCAGTATTAGACTAACTATAGACTATACATTTTTACAATTTGGCAGCTGCAGTTTCATATACTTCCACAAATATTGCACTTTTACGAATTTAATATTATGTGTAAATGATGCTTTTATTACTGTGAACCAATAAAAGACTTCAAATTGTATGTATTTCAGCTTTGCCTGTTGGTGGCCGGTGTTCTCGTTATGGTTTATCTGGATACAGCAGAGAGTCGCGAGATACGCCACGGCGGACGCGGACCGGCACGCCGCGTGGTCAACCATGTGGGACGTAACTTCCCGCGTCGTGTGGGCCACATGATCAGCCGACCGGGTCGCTACGGGAACTTCTACCGTCATCGTCCGCGCTATATCGGCTATGGCTACCCGGTGGTGTATCCCGGATACGTGTACGGCAGTGACCCCTATGCCTGGTATTCCAATCCCGTCCCGCAGGAGGTGTATCCCCAAGACTACGATCCCAATAATTATTGTCAGGATGATAATGAGGATGGGGTTTGTGACGATGCGGAATAGATCAACTCGACTCATATGCGTTTTCGGATGTTTTATGCGGTTTTTATAAAAAAATCCGACAAAAAGTTCGATCAGTTATGATCGATTATAAGGATGTAAGCCGTTTCCGGCTGCGCCAGTATATTCAAGTACAACTGTGTTCGGTGTATTTTATCTTTCGTGAATGTGTAATAGAAACTTTCCTTTTGTACTGTAATAGAAACTTTCATGACATTATGACAATTTTTACGTGGAGCAACCGTTGCTGCCATTAAACCAAAGTATACTCAAGGTGAATTATTTCCAACGTGTCAATAATTGCAATCCTTTTGCAATCAGCAATTACAAATTAAGCATCGCTATACTTTGTATAAAAAACCCAAGTCGTATTTATTATCGGATAGAATTTTAAGCCGCCAATTTTGTACCGTCACGTAATAATATGAACCATCTAAAATGAAATAGTATTGTCAGTATAACATATGGTTATATGTTATTATTATTAATTTTATTTCGTTATTCGGTATCAGTTTGGTTTGTGCGCAACGACGCGCGCAGACTAAATTAATACCGAATAACCCAATAAATAATAATGGGCTCAATAGCCGGACAATTGTTTTTGATACGAGAAAAAAACTAAAGTACCGTACACAGACGGAAATCCATTAACACAACATCGCGAACTGGCATACTTCTATATTCCCCTTACTATAATTATTGCTCGATTTTTGGCATGCTGCTTCCATTTAAACTTTTCGTATACAGTAAAGACAAGAAAAAAATATAATTGATATCATAATCGGATATTGATAATATCATAACCGGCGAATATCATTACCGGTACATATACGATCACAGTACATTGCAACATCCGCTTGTTCTGCCACTTTCTTCCGCGTCGCTGCGCTTTTTTGCCTGGCGCTGCTCTTTGCCGGCAATACGGAATGTCCGTACACCGCGGTTAACCGCCATGGAGCCTCCATCACTGTACGATATATCCACCGGAAGCTGTCTAATTCGGCTCGCCGGGATGGTGTCCAGGTTATCAATGATGGTTGTCAGCGCGGCTTCGATCGCTCCCGGTTCAAGGTGACTGTTACGCATGTTGAGATGTTTGAACTGGGCGGCAATACACTGCACCTCACCGCCTCCGTTAATAATGCTGCCGTACATTCCAACCGTTAAAGACTCGTACAAGGCCTGTTCCACTTCCTGTAAATCTTCTTTCGTCAATTGGTGCGCGAGAGATGCATCCGGTTGTCGGGAAAACTCGCTTTGGTCGAAGGCCAATGTACCGTTTTGAGCGTTCTGGGCCACCGCCCATTGGGCCAGAACCCGGGAAAAGTCGTCATTATCGGCAGCCATATGGCGGATGAAAATGAAAGAAATGGAAAAGCGAATGAAGACTTTTTTGCGACGAAATAACGCTTCACGGGCGCGTAAATGGTGTGTTCGATTTTTCTGATAAACGATCACTTCTATTTCACAACGGGATGAAATAACCACACACCAACCATCGAAATACAAAAATTTCAGAAGTACGAGCAAATGCTGGAAGACTGCGCGTACAGCATGTAGATATTGTATACGGCTTATAAATCAAAATTGTTAACCAAGCGATTGCGATACCTACAATATGTGGACGGTTAAACAGATAACAGATAAATGCATTCGCAAGAATTCTGCATGTGCATTGTAACTGTCGTACAAGTTATAGGTGATAAAGCTGCAATGTCAAAGGAAGATAATTTACATACGAGTCAGAAATTTGAGCGCAAAATATAGATAATATGACGTCTTCCAGGTAAAATGGCAGTTTGGACCCCGTGAATAATACTGTAATACCGTATGATTGGTTGGACCCCGTGAATAATACTGTAATACCGTATGATTGGTTGGACCCCGTGAATAATACTGTAATACCGTATGATTCGTTGGACCCCGTGAATAATACTGTAATACCGTATGATTCGTTGTCAGCTCCTACCGAAGTACGTACCTGCACAAGTGGATAACAAAATCAATCAAGTAAAGAAACTGACGGAATCTTTGGGCGTTCTGCCGGCGCATCAGTCGCTGTTTTTACTCAGGAATAGCACGTCCCTGCCGCGGCTCATGTATGTTCTCCGAGCAGCGCCATGTTACAAATATCCAGAGAAGCTTAAAGAATTTGACGATGTGATTAAGTCCAAGGCCGAAGAAATCACCATTGTCAAGATGGACGACACCATGTACGTGCAAGATTCTCTGCCGGTTAAATAAGGAGGTCTTGGTTTACCGAAAGCAGAAGAAATTGCAGCGCCAGCATATCTACCGTAATTATCGAATTAGAGCCCCAGGGAATTACAAGTATTTCAAACGCATCACGGGGTGGGCTCCAATTACGGGCATGGGCTTGTATTTCGGAGGGGGCTTCAATTTTTTGGCATTGCCTAATATGGGCTATACAGCATTTAATTAAGCCCATGGGCTTTTATTTCGGGGGGAGCTTATAACTTTCAAATGACCTTAAGGGTGGGCTCTAATTACGGGGGGATCTTCTATTTCGGGGGAGCTTATAATTCGATAATTACGGTATCTTCACTTTATGCCACTGATGAGCTGGTTAATAGTATGGTGCCCGAAGACTGCTCTGATGACCGCGCGACCGCATGTCGAGTTACGCTGGGAAGAATTAACCGGTAAATCTGCTCCATCGACAGAAGATGGAAGCAATCAACGCCTGTGGTCGGACATATTGACCGCCAGGAAACTGGAAGCCTTAAGGGATGGTGCTGACGTTATCGCTTCTGCACGTTTGTGGGCCGCCTCCACTAAGAGTGCCAGTGCCTGGTTGTTGGCTTTGCCGGTTGCCGGTTGCCTTGGTACACCTTTAGACGATGCTGTGCTACGAGTCGCTGTTGCTTTACGAATGGGTGCTTCGGTTTGCAAGCAACACAAATGCCGCTGCGGTGAAATGGTCGATGCCCAAGGCTTGCACGGTTTGTCATGTCCAAAATGCCAAGGGAGATTCAGACGCCATGCAAGCTTGAACAGCCTTATTTAACGCAGCCTGGGATCAGCGAAAGTTCCTGCTATTTTGGAGCCACCCGGACTGAGCAGGTCAGATGGGAAGCGGCCGGACGGCTTATCTCTTTTCCCCTGAAAGAACGGCCTCCCTTTTGGGATGTGACAGTGTGCGACACTTTTGCTCATTCCTACATCGCCGGCTCATCAGAAGTCGCGGGATCGGCAGCAGAAGATGTGAAAGAACGAAAAAGGCGCAATTACGAAGGACTGACTGATCGTTATTTCCTCCAAACCCTGGCCTTCGAGACTACGGGAAGTTGCGACGCCAGTACCCGCCAGTTCATCAGTGAAGTTGGCGGCCGTATTAAAGATCAAACTGGAGAAGCGCGCGCCACCGAATTTTTGTGCAGCGTATTAGTGTAGAAATTCAACGGGGAAATGCTGCTTCTGTTCTGCGAACTGCTGGTTGTTCGAAAGAGCTGGAAGAGTTGTTTTTTTTTGTTCTAGCAAGTGGTTATTTGAGGTCTACATAAGTGTAAATAGCATTTGCTTGTACAAGTTTGGAATAAAAATGCGTTTAAAGTTGATATCTCTCATTTGCTTACATATGACTCGTTATGAGCATCACATTCTTAATACCTGCCATTTACAAACATCTATATACAGCGTCACATTACTCCTTAACGTATTTACAAGTTTACAACCGATACCGATGATAACGCACGAATTACAAATGTTGAAAAAAACCTGCATAACATATCGTTTTGATACGAAGCTGATGTCGCTTTTGTCTGGGTTGGCGATAAATTGTGTACTTATAGTGAGTGTTTGTCTGATGCATATGTTCCCTGCACAACGGCTGTCATGTTTAATGAAATTTCCTGTGCTTAATTGCTAAATTTTGTTATTTCGACATTGATTGTTAGTTATGCTTAAAGACAGAACAACAAGGCAAACGAAAACGCTGCACCCAAGACCAGACCGACATTAATACACAGTCCCATAATCGCTCCCGTAATCTCTGCCCATTCAGGCGGCACCACTTTCGGTCCGTACATGATCCCGGCATTGCCAAAATACCCGTTCGTAAAGGCTAGCACCGCGATCAAGGTGATAAACACCGCATCCCCGAATACCGCGTCAGTATGGTCACGGGGCGCCGCATTACAAAACAAGAACATAGGAATCAAACCAGTTCGCACCACGGCGATTACAAACAGCAAAATGCCTTGCTGAGGATTCGGCCACTGCAGTAATCCATGCGAGAACCGTCCTGAAAAATCACCCACATTGTAGACGACAAAACAGGCTACCGGGAGAAAAAGTGCGTTGTTCAGCAGCGATCCACTGGCGGCGTTGGTCGATTTCACCATCACGGAAATGGCGGGAAACACCGAGAGAGTCGTAGCAAAGGTAAGGATCAATGTACCGATATACGGCCAGGTGCGGGTGATGATCATCTTTAGCGGTGTCTTCGGCTTTTCCACCGGTTTCTCATCGGACGCATTTATGACCTTTTCGTCGTTACGATTAAAGTAAAAGTTGACAATCGGCAAGCGCAGAAAAACCGCGAATAAAACTGTGCATAACGTGGTAGCGCCGATGGCCGAGGCGAAGTACCCTACGGCTTGGTTTTTTATAGAAGAATTTTGATCGGTCTCGTCGCGATTGGTCAGCACGGAAATCACCGACGACAGTGCCGCGAAGATCCCGGCGAAAGTCTGTCCGACCATGAACGCCGTGGCGAATTTCGACGGCATACAACCTTGCAATCCGAACAGTCCCCCGTTGACGATATTACTGGCGAAATTGATAATGAACACATTAATCATGGTGATAATAAAAAATCCCTCCTGGAATGAATCCGTGTCCACCCGCGCCAATACCGTTGTCACGGTGAAGATAATGATGATGACAATGAAACCGCCGTACGCGCGCAGTTTCACGGATAGGTACCTCGTCAACAATGTGCTGCACACGATCCCCACTAAACCGCAGCTGGTGGCAATGATGGTCAGAGCGTTCTCAAACGTCCGCTGATACGGTGTCGTCCCCTCCGGATGGGTGACGTTCCGCAGGGCGAAATGGAAATAATCAGCGGCGGTGATGAAGAAATTCCACGGGTACATCCCGCCCATCCCCAGGAAGACCATGATGATGAAGGCCAGATTGTAGCGGTCGGGTGGGGCGTATTTGGGGTTGCGAGCGCCATTGTGCAGGTTCAGATCATCGGCGGTGGTACTCGTGTCGCTGGTGATGGTTGACACTTTCTCGTCGATGGACGATGAAGTACGAGTCTCCTCGTTCCGCTGCATTGTAAAGCTATTTAAACTGGCTGTAAATGTCAGTTATAACTTTACGAGGGTGGTATGAACTATGAATGTCAAAGCGGAGTAAACTCGTAAATCTTTGGGAGGACAGTAAAAGAATGTTGGTTGTGGACTTTGCGTCGGATGTGAGTGGAATTATTGTTAAGGGAAGAATGACCTTATCAGTTTATGGTTAAGTGTTATCGTACTCGCTTGTGTCAAATGGCAGAGACTTTCTGACAGAAGTGTGGCAAGGTTATCAGTCACTCTTGCCGATTAATTGATAGTTCGAGGTACACGGCACACGGTACTGTCCCTTATCTACATAAGTGTTTGTAAAACAGTTTGTACAGTTCGAAACTTTTTATATGTTTACATTCCGCGAGCACGGTTAACTGAAATGTACAGAAATTTTAAGTTTCTAAATGCATCGATGAGATGACCTTCACAAACTCAGTGGTACAAATCGATCTCGTAAAATTAATCATAATGGTTAAAAAGACCCGTACTGCTATGCACACGCATGTAATCGACGAACAATTCGAAGTATATATAATAAATTGTCGGCGCATTAATATTGCACAGTCATCGATTACACATTATAACAAAATAACAAAAAACTGTAAGAATTCTTAAAATCTTGCACCTAAAATGGTTGAATTGCGGGGGGTGGTTTATTCATACAAGAAGGTGGGTTAGTAACAGCATTAGCCCATGCTGGTAATCCTCCAGTAAAATTCGGGTTATCCACACTTCCTTTCGCCGTCAAGATATTTCGTGCACTGGCCAAGCTCCCTTGGTCGGCGGTGGAATCCAAACCCATTGTCACCCATCCCAGTAAGCCGTCCTCGACGGTACTCCCCAGCAGAGCGTAATTCATCACGGGGTCGCTGGCACTGGCCGATTCAGCGGCGAAAGTCAGATCCTGAGAGTTAAGGGTGATGGGGACGTTGTTCTGCTTGTACGCGGTTGTGGCGTGGACCGAGGTGAGAAGGGCCTGGTCGAAGAGGATGTTCCCGATGTGCGGAACCTTCCCACCGGCGTACGTGTTATTAGGCAGAACGGTGCCGTTGAGATGGACGATGGTGTGGATGTGGTTAGTGCGACCGGGATAATGACCTGGGACGATGGTGATGAACTGGGTAAAACCGTCGCGGTTGGTGGGCTGCAGTCCACGCAAGAATGTTGTGTTCTAGAAAGACCATAAAGCATTCCATAAAACTAAAAATACGCACGAAGAGCTGCGAACGAGCGTGACTTATAAAAAATTTGTTTCAACTAAATTTGTTTCAGCTCATTTTAATTAGGTGCTTGGTTAAATTGCAATCATAGAACAGCAATCTTAGCGATAGAATATGTACTCACTATGTTTTTGAGATCCGCCTTGTTTCCGTTGTCTTTCGCCACAACCCCGCCATAGACGCCGGTGGCATTGGCATGCCATATATCAACAAACACATTGGGCATCGGTTTGCACGTCTTCGTATCGATGACTTGTATGTCGAGGTACAATGTGACTCCCTTCTGGGTTTCCCGGATATCCTTCCGAATGAATTCACCGCTGACCCAGTACGGCCCCACTTCCACTTCGGGGGTCAATGAACAGGAGACATTACTGCCGAAGGGATTACTGTTCTCGTTTAATCGATGATTGGTGGCCAGCACTTTGGCGGTATCTCGTACACTGCGACCTTTATAAGGAAGCAAAAACAAATCACGTTCACAATAAGCATAGATGGAGTATTTTGAATTTTGTACAAAATTGACTGCTGTGAACTGGTGATTTTGTACTTTGCTGCTGTATTAACAGACCCGAATTCGGTATTTAAACGTATCTTTACACAGTAACTAATACGAGCTCGAGTATAAACACTACCCTACTTGTAACTCATAGTGTAAAAGCTGTAGACTTACTTAGCAGGTGTTCCGCGCGCAACGATTCAAACAGCGCTTGCCGGCGAACGATGGCGCGCTTCTGAAGAATTCGTGATGCTGTACTATCCAGACAACTCAGCACGGATCGCTTCGCTAGCTGCCGAAAGGCATGTTGCGCGAAGGACAGGGACGCATCCGGTTCAGGATGTTCATTGGGATGAGCATGCACGAGGTGCTCTATTCCGGAAAATAAGAGAACAAGTACCTGGATCAGTGCAACCTTTAGGTACATCATGATCGTCCGGGATTCACGAAGATGGCTATCCAGCCGCTGAAGTTAGCAAGCGTTCCTGCATCATGAAGTACCATTACGAATTTCCGAAAAAAAATAATTTGTGTTGTCGGCTTTAAAATGGAAAGACTACCTGGAAGACTAGTTGCGACCACTGCTTTGTCCTGATCCGGCGATCGGCAGATCTGTGGGTTTGCGCAGTGGTTAAATAGGATTATAGGCGCACTTGCTATACCGCAGTTACGTATACTATTGTGTTTGCGTAAAAACGTATTTGTACCGTTATACTCGTACGTAATAATATTATTATGTACTGTCATTATGTGGAACCTGTGCTATTTATATACTGTACTTCAGCCGGCAATCCACGTCTGCGGATTGCCACCACCGTCATACCCAGCAGCTGAGCTGTCGGGTGAATTAGTTCTTCTTCCGCTTTCAAAACTGCAAGCACATTGGCTTTACGAGAACGCAGTGATGTTAATCATATTAAGACGTATTCTCTGGCACCAAAAACTTCCGGCATAAAACATGTCGAGAAACTCCTGCCGTAACCATGCACTTCGCAGTATTACGTGGAGGTACATATTCCAAAGCTAGGTTTCTACTTGTAATGTTGATGGTCTGATCCAGCGCATATGCGAATTGTTGACGTGTCTGTTAATTGTGCCGCTGGCCAGTATCAACTAATTAACTTTGACTGGCCAGTTAACTTTGATTCGTGTTATCGTACTTGTTTCGGTATGACTGACTTGAATATGAGGCGTGCATATATATATCTAACAGCCTATATCAAACACAAGCAGAAATAAATTGGTTTGTAAAACATCTTTCTTGTACTTCCCCAATCATCCATAAGGGTTCCCCGTCAACACTGGACAGAGCACTTAAAAATGAAGGAAACTTCAAACACAGTCGTACTTGCAACTCCTTTTTAAGTTTTGCATACTGGTAACTGCTGCGAAGTCGGCTCGGTTAAAGGTACACAGCAAGGCCTAAACAAACAGATGCAGATAAATCTACGGTATATTTGAACTAATCTGCACATTGTAACCTTTAATTTTGTCCGGCAGCGACTGCCACTGGGGATGCAGCGGGGTAACGCAGCTTCAATTAGCAACGGGGCCATCACTAATGAGGTGTGATTTCGGCTTCCTTTGTGTCATTTCGGTAGAACCGCGTGGTCACGTATACCATACGCGTCTACGGGAAAAATGATACCGTAGTTTAGATTTCGAACTGTATGCGGTGATTAGTTCAACCTTTCACGTTTATGAAGAGAAACCAATTGTGCGAAATTAAATTTTCTTCTTCGCATGCCTTTTTTATAAAAAATAATAATAAACTACTGAAGCACAGTGAGGCGTTCTTTGCGGCAGTTTATTCGCTGATATGTGTCTGCACAGGTGCGCATGCTCACTGTTATCTGTACTACTACGCAGTATGACGGGACTTTATACAGATAAGACTATAGTCAAGTTCCTTTTTGTGGAGCGGAATTTTATTCAGATTGGCGATAATAATCATTTACTGGTTTTTTAATAAAATTTCACGTCAAGTTTTTGTATTCTGGTATTTGCACTGACTTGTGGCTATGGACTTTGGTTATAGACTTAATATTTAATTGTCCCATTTCGCATATTTAAAGGAAAATTCACTTTTACCGTTGTTCTTAATCCGGTTGCATTCTTATACTACTACTGGAATCCTGGTTATCTGCGAATGCTTTACAATAAGCTTCATGTGCCATATCGCATGTTGAACTACAGGTACAAATAACAATATATTATTAAATAAAATTTCTGTTATTATACAATATACAAAAATTCGTTGTAGTGATAAGAGGCACATCGCGTAATTTGGAACAACAAAGCATTGTTGGTCTTAAATCGCCAGCCTTCAAATTTCCAATATTTCCCTTCAAATTTCTGATTTTTTTATCTTATAAAAATCTTTTTTTTATCTTATAAAAATCTTCTTTTTTTATCTTTCTTATTTTCTTTTTTTTTATCTTATCTTCTTTTTATCTTATCTTCTTAATTTTTATTTTATTATTCATATGCTAGTAAAACCACTCTGTTCCCTTTTAAATACAATTAACTGGTTCAAGCTGCATAACATGAACTCTGAATTTATCCTGAACGTACGCCAGCCTTGCCAGGCTTTGCATGCACTATGAAATCACGCTGTTCTAAAAAAACATGCAGTTCTAAAATTACTGTAATACTTTTCACGGTGTTTTGGCAAACTTACGTGTACTCTAATTCATAAAATATCATTCCGAATAACCAGCGATAAACTCGTGCGGATTCGCGTCTAACTACTCTAGGATAGACGTTCAACTGGAAGAAGTACTAACTTTCCGCACACATTGTAAGGCGTAAACAGCTTATTTCATAAGTATAGGAAGTTAGGAACCAAACATTGACTTCAACATTTATAATTTGTAACATTTTAATTTCGTTCAACAGTTGTGAAACGAATTTCTAAAAACGTTTTCGGATGTACTGTAATGGCACGCTAGCTGCACTGGCCACGCTGTGCGTTCTACCGAAATGACAAACGCTGAGCGCGCTACGCCTCACATACCCTCGGCTCGCCTGATGGCCCCGTTGCTAATTTTTGGCACAGTAGCGGGAGCGAAAATGTTAAATGAGCTCTTGTTAATGTGATATTTCACCCTTCTCTGTCAAAGCAAGTGCAGCTGGTTTGAAATAAAGACACTACAAACCTTCAATTTGATGTTGTGCTTGAATATGTTACCTATTTGGTACGTATGCACCGCACCGGAATTAACCATGTATATATCCGGAACATGATCTCAACTTCAACGCTCAACTTCCACGTAAAGCTGGCTTAAGCTGCATAGTTCAAATAGCATTACGTTACAATTTTGAGCAAAACTAAGGTTAAGTTTAGCGGTGGAACGTATCTTAGGTCCAAATATGATACTGTGAGTTATATGCTAATCGGATACGACTCACTGTAAAAAAAGATGACAAGTTGAGTCGACAATACAGTATTCCAATCACGGACCAGAAAGGTCAATATTACTTCATTTGAGTTGTGGAAGGGGGCGTTTCTGTGTTCCGTTGCGTGCGCAGAGATAACCGCCCGCAATGCAACACGCCAGCACCTACCAGCAGCAACATGGCGGAAATAGCGGGTAGAGAATGATGGCCAGGAGACTAACTGTTGTTGCAAATCACAAGATTTTAAATTTGGTTTTGCGATCGGATGTGATGAACCAAAGGTTCGCCATTTCACCATCACTAACACACGCCCAGGGCTTAGCAAATGGCACGTTATGGCCGCAATGGCGCTCATGGAAGTGCAAGATAGCTACGCACAAGGTTAGTTTCACCTGCTTTCAGGAATCTGCTGGACAGACCACTCAACTGGAATTTATTGGGATAACTCTTTTTGTGCCGTACCCACTACAGAGTACTGAAAGCGCAGAATTGTTTATAAAATCTGGGATGGGATTGCTAAGACTTTAGAGAAAGCATGAAGTTTTAAATAGTGCGTATGCAGTTTCAATATTGTCTATAATGAAAAACAATACATCTCGAAATTATTTATGCACCACACCCGTCACGCAGTAATCAAATGATTAAAAGCTTTTCTCGGTCCCAAAACGGCACCTTTCCGCGACGACGAAGCCATTTTATCAGCTGGAGATTAAGTTTGGTCCCAGTGTTTAACATTCTGACCCTTAGCGTCGGCCACCGAGCTAATTATCTTATGGTTAACCGATTTATTGTGATGGAGTTTACTGTTTACTTCAGTAGTTTTTCATTTATTAGGAAGCATTAATCGACCCCTCCCGTGTGCGTTAGTGAATTAAATTAATAATTGAAACCTCCAAAAATAAAACAGTACAGACTACAGAGCACACTCATTACACTGGATGTTTCAGCGTTTTCTCTGCGCTTTCCCCGTACACATCTACGGTATATGTGTCTTATAATGTACGATGGGTGAATACTGATTACATTTGTACACGTTGCGAAAAATCCTTTTGCGCGCGCATCCGAAAATATTTTGTGCATCGCTAGAGCTCGATCAAGTGTTATCAACCGCTGCCATTGAAAACTGATTATCAGTATACAATTAATATTAACTGGTTTATTCCGTTAACATTTTTAGCTTGGATGAGCATCGAATTGTGTTTTTGCCGCTGACCGTTAATAGCGTTCTTGACGCCAGTTGACGGTGTATCTTGCGTCTGCGCAATGGAAACAAATAGGAGTATTAATAACGACAGCATCTATGATTTTATGTCTGACCCAAGGGCCTTCGCTTATGAATGGCAAAAACACGTTCCCGGCACCGGCGTATGGAGCGTTAATGCGCTAAAAAGCGCGGACTTATTTTATCTTGTTTGCTATCCGTTCTTATTGACATTATGCACAATTGGAAATGCACTGAATCTGACTGTTTTAATTAGCGCGGAAGAGAAGACCAGTACCAATTGCTACATGACCGCCATGGCCATTGGCGATCTGGTTTTTGTGTAAGAACGTTCGCAATGCGATCTTGGTGGAATCGGATTAGTCTTGAACCCGACTGATAGCACAACTTGATTACATTCACCTTATCACTGTGAACTTCTAAATCACATATATTTTACCGTTAGGTGGGCACGCTTGCTGAGATACAGCAAACTTGCTAGCTGGTATACGAAGATTTCATACAACTTCAAGGCGTCCGACGCGGCGTATCCGTATATCTACTATGCAATGCAGTGGAGTGGGAGCTTCAGTGACTGGTACGAGGCGAGAGATCTCTATTGCACCCCACCTATGTTGAATAAAATACCCCCAATCTACCATGAGATTGTGTTGTTACACCATCACACGTCAGGGATTCAGCCACTTAGGGTAATATAACGATAATTATCGAATTTGTGGCTCCCCCCGCAACAATAGCACCCCCTGTAATAAGCGCCCCTCCGACATCGTGTTAGAAAATAACGGCGCACTCGAAATTCAGTCCAGGGGCCGTTAATAAATGGCAAGCGCACCAAAACGGTAGTAATAACGTAGCCAGTGCTAATGTAAGTTGCTTAACCATTGTCCGCTTAAACACGCGAACGGTGAGAACGAATAGTAACACAATCGATCAAAAAGCGGTGATATAGGCATTTATCAGGTAACTGCTGCGCGACGTTTCAATAATGCCCACCGAAATTAAATGTTTGAATTATAATGTCACCCCGAAAAAGTGCCCCTCCCCGAAATAGGGCTCCTCCCCTGCTCCACAGCGTTCGAA